CCCAAAATCTGAAATCTAAAATGTTTCAAACTCATAAATATTTTGAGTGTCATCATGACAGCTCAAAGAAAATGCTTAGGGGTGCTAAAGCAGTAAATATAATGCAAATAATCCAAAATCCACAAAAATCTGAACTCTGAAATACATCTGATCCCAAGCATTTTGAATAAGGGATATTCAACCTGTATTAGAAAAAAGTAAAGCTTGTAGCTTAAAAAATTAGGAAAAGAAGAACAAATTGAACCCAAACTAAGCAGAAAGAAGAATATAATGAAGATAAATGTAAAAATCAATGAATTAGAAAATAGATAATAGGGAAATTAGTGAAACCAAAGCTAATTCTTTGAGAAAATGAATACATTTGATAAATCTCTAGCCAGAATGGTCAGGATAAGAAGAGAGAAGATTCATATTACCAGTAACAGGAATGAGAGGGGGGACATCACTACACATCCTATGGACATTAAAGGATAATAAGGGAATATTAAGAACAACTTCATGCCAATAAATTCAACAACTTAGATAAAATACACAAAATTCCTTGTAAGACATAAATGTATGGCTCTTTGACTTCACATTATAATACGTTGCTGTCCTGCATTTTGAAGTACAAATCTGAGATTCTTCTTTGTTAGAATTTTTAACACTAGAGGATTAGAACATCTCATCTTGTTCTTCTCTGTATGCCTACAAACTCTAACAAAGGATTATCTAGAATTAGATGTTTTCTACACAGACCTGGAAGATATAACCATAAAGATTTATATTCCAAATCAGACTATAGTTGAAATATTATTAAATATCATTTAATCTGTTAAAGACAGTAACTTACCCAGTTTTAATGATCCTTTGAATCTGATACTGAATTTCCATGTGAGGTGGTTAATTGCTCAGTTTAATGGCAGGATGGGGCAGTATATTGATTAAGAGCATAGGTTGTGGAAGCAGACACTTGTCTTTATTTAATAATTATTTTGTGGCCGGGCGCAGTGGCTCACTTTGGGAGGCCGAGGCGGGCAGATCACGAGGTCAGGAGATCGAGACCATCCTGGCTAACATGGTGAAGCCCCATCTCTACTGAAAATACAAAAAATTAGCTGAGCATGGTGGCGGGCACCTGTAGTCCCAGCTGCTCAGGAGGCTGAGGCAGGAGAATGGTGTGAACCCGGGAGGTGGAGCTTGCGGTGAGCAGAGATCGCACCACTGCACTCCAGCCTAGGTGACAGAGCAAGACTCCATCTCAAAATAATAATAATAATAATAATAATATAATTATTATTATTTTGTTACTGTGCTTGTGACCTTGAGCAAGATTTTAAACTCCTGAACAAGAGTTTCCTCATATGTGAAGTGGGAGTGATAATAGGGTCTATTACATAGAGTTGTTGTGAGGATTACAAGTAATAATGCTTCTAAATCTTTTAACATCATACCTGAAACGTTTAAGCACTTAGATGTTAGCTGCTAGTGTGAATATCTATTTTATTGTTGAACCAAATATTTAATAAAGCTTTTCAGAATAAGTTCTAAAGGAAAAAGACAGATTGATACATTGAAATGGTGAATAAGGCTGTCTAAAAAAGACTGTCTAAAAAGAGTTCCTTTTTGCCAGAGGAAAAGAACATAATGCTTTTGCAGGTTTGCCAGAAAAATATTTAGCTGGAAAGAGGAGAAAATAAAATTTTGTGTGGAGGGGAAGGGAAGGGAGGATACCTTTTCAGATAGAGTTGATTGCCAAGAGTGGTAAGTAAAGAATTTGAAGACTTGCTGAAGAGATATCTGACCTCTCCTTATTTCCTCCCCCAGTTTCACTTTTTCAATTTTAACACGTTTTTTGAAACTTAAATTTAGACTTACAAAAAGAGTTACAAAAGAGTACAGAGAGTTCCTGTATACCATTCATTCAGCTTCCCTTTATGTTAACATCTTGAATAACAGTGGAACCATTTCTTACAGCTTAGAAATTAACTGTGATACAATACTATAACTAAAGTACAGGACGTATTTGGTTTTCACTGGTTTTTCACTGATGTCCTTTTTCCGCTTCAGGATCCAGGTGAGGATCCACATTGTCTTTAGCTGTTGTAGCTCCTTGGTCTCCTCCAATCTGGAATAGTTCCTGTCTTTCTTTGTCTTTCATGACCTTGATACTTCTGAAGGGTACTGGTCCCTTATTTTGCAGAATGTCTCCAATTTGGGTCTGTCTGCTGTGTTGTTATGGTTTGATTGAGCCCATGCATTATTGAGAAAGCTACCACGGAGGTGGTACCCTTCTCAGTGAATCATGCGAGAGACTGTGGTTTCAATACGTATTACTGATGATGTAAATCTTAATCACTTGGCTCAGGTGTCAGCAGGGATTTTCTGCTACCAACGTACTGCTTTTCCCTTTGTAATCACCATATATTGTGGCAGAGATACTTTGGGACTGTATATAGCATTTTGGATTAAACTTTCACCCACTAACTTTAGTAGGCGTCTCTGATCTTGCCTGTGGCAGTTATTACCTTGGTGTTCTAATGGTGGTTTTTCTATTTTTCTCATTCCTTCTGTACTTACTAATTAGAATTTTTGTGTAAGGAAGAGTTCTTGCTTCTCCCTTATTTATTTATGTAATTATGGGTTTGTGAATATTTTTATTATTTGGCTTATAATTCAACACAATTGCTTCTTTTTTGTTGCTGGACTTTTAGTTTTGGCCATTGGGAGCTCCTTCAGGTGGGTACCTGTGTCCTTGGACTATATAATAACTTTTTTTTTTTTAAAGCATTCTCATACTTTCTGACATAATAAAATGCTCCAGGATCATCTTATGTTTTCCCTATCCCAGTTTTGGAATTAACCAGTTCTCCAAGAAGCCCTGATTCTTTTTATTGGAGAATGGTATTTAGAAACCAAGGTCTGGGAACTAGGTGTGTGTATTGCTGCAGGAGTGTCACTGCTTCTCACCTCTCAGTGACTAGAGCTAGAAAATGTATGTATGTATGTATGCTAACTCATGCATACACGTGTGCGTGTGTGTGTGTGTGTGTGTGTGCATGGATAAAGATTTGAAAGCCAGGAGTCTATATTAATACTGCCAACTCTGCTTTTCTTCTCCTCCTTCTCCTCCTCTTCCTTCTTCTCCTCCCATCTTCTGTCTTCTCCTCCTGCTCCTCCTGCTCCTCCTCCTCTTTTTTTTTTTTTCAGACAGAGTCTCCCTCTGTAACCCAGGTTGGAGTGCAGCAGCACAATTTTGGCTCACTGAAACCTCCACCTCCTGGGTTCAAACGATTATCCTGCCTCAGCCTTTTGAGTAGTTGAGATTACAGGTGCCCGTCACCAAGCCCAGCTAATTTTTGGGGGGTTTTCTTTTTGGGTTTTTTTTGGTTTTTTTTTTTAGTAGAGATGGGGTTTTGCCGTGTTGGCCAGTCTGGCCTCAAACTCCTGACCTCAAGTGATCCACCTACCTTGGCCTCCCAAATTGCCAGGATTACAGGCATGAGCCACCATGCCTGGCCACTTCATTTTTAATCTGTATATTTTTAACCAGGGTAGCTTTTTTATCTTAATAAATACTATGTGCTTAATAAAAATTTCAGACACAACTACTGTTACAAGTTTCTTAAGTATTCCTTTAAGAATACTCTGTAATAAATAAGCATGTATATATATATATAGTTGACCCTTGAACAACGTGGTTTGAACTATGCAGGTCCACTTATACATGGATTTTTTTCAACCAAATATGGATCAGAAATACAGTATTCAGCCAGGCACAGTGACTCACGCCTGTAATCTTGGCACTTTGGGAGGCCGAGGCGGGTGGATCACCTGAGGTCAGGAGTTCAAGACCAGCCTGGCCAACATGGTGAAACCCCATCTGTACTGAAAATACAGAACTTAGCCAGGCATGGTGTCAGGCACCTGTAATCCCAGCTACTTGGGAGGCTGAGGCAGGAGAATTGCTTGAACCTGGGAGGCAGAGGTTGCAGTGAGCCAAGATTGCACCCACTGCACTCCAGCAACAAGAGTGAGACTCCGTCTCACACACACACACACAAAACATAGTATTTATGGAACACAAACCCCAGGTATATGGAGGGCCTACTTTTCCTATAAGCAGGTCCCACGGGACTAACTGCAGGACATGAGCATGTATGGATTTGGATAAGTGTGGGGGTGAGGCAGTTCTGGAACCGAGTCCTCCTGTAGACTGAGGGACGACTGTGTGTCTGTGTATCTTCTCTCTTCTTTTTATTCTCATGGGAGCATGCTAGATACTTTCTGCACCTTTTTCATCTAATTGGATATTTTGAGGCCATTTTTGACAGAGAAAAACCTGTTTCTGGGTTCCAATCTGACAGGTTGAAGGGCCCCCTGAGAGATGGAAGAGTAAAAACTGCAGTGAAAAAAAAAAGCCGAGACCTTCAGCCTTGTTGCCTTAGCAGAAACTGATGTTTGTGTGTTAAAGCAAAGCTTGTTTGGAGATTTTTAAGATAAAACTGAAGCCTACAGTCCGTGTTATGTGGGGAAAAGGTTAATAAGTAGGATCTTCCAAGTAGGTTCTTCCCTGGACTCTGGATATGAGTAGTAGTGAGAGAATGCACCATTTCCACAGACATGACCCCATCAGCTGCCATTTCCCACAGGTGAACAGAACATCATACTAAAACTACATGGAATTCTCTCACGTAAAGAAACCAAAACGTTTTAGAGACTGATGTGTCATGTTTTAAATATGAATAAAGACCTGTTGCCATATATCTGACTATTTACCTCAGTCATGGGACTGAAGATATTAAATTAAAAGGCTAGAATTTTGCATCTACTTTTAAGGTGTCTTTACAAAAAGCAAATGATCATGTATACTTTTTTCCTCTTCTTAAAATTGATCACTGTGCTGTTGTGCACGATTTCCTTAATAAGATACAGCTATTAGTGCGTGTGGCATTTTGTGATTTGTGTAACTAACCCTTTCCCTCCCAGCTTCTTACCTTTCTGTTCCTCTGATATTGCAGGGTTGCCTGATTCTGAGTGATGAGCTGAACCATGCATCACTGGTTCTAGGAGCCAGACTGTCAGGAGCAACGATTCGAATCTTCAAACACAACAGTGAGTTTGCTGCGGAATTCACTGGTGGCCTTGGTGTTTATTATTCTTTGGATCCATGGTGGGAATTAACATGAGTTATATTAGCAGTTGAAAATATAAATGAAGCCAAAGTAGCAACTTTTAAAATGTTCTTCTGGTCCAGTCTTTTAAAATTAGAGGTTCAAGGAAGCCTCTTGTACAAATATAATACCATTCTTTTATTTGACCATTAAGTTTTCCATCCCATTTCGTCGTTTACAAATCCCTTACTCAAATACATTTACTCGATGCCTATAGTGTATCTTGCCATAAGACTAGCGGTGTTTAGATGAGTAAATCAAGGTCTCTGACTGGTTAATGAAGAGACTTAATAGATAAGCCAGTGTTTACAGTACAGCAGACAGGTGCTGAAGTACAGCCATGAATAGATGCTGTGGGAGCACGGAGGAGGGTGCCCCTGAGCCAGACCTTTCCTCCCTAAGTGGAAATATCTTTGCGTGTTATCAAAATGATTATTTAGAATAAAAATGTATAACTTTCATAGTTAAAACACACACATAGGGAGAAAAGATAACCCAAATGTATGTTTAATATCATCTTTTCCCAGAATGTGTGCAGGCACAGCCAGGTTTGGAAGAATGTATACCAAAATGTTAGGTGTGTACCCCTGGATGGAAGGATCATAGATGATAACATCATTTTTGCTTTTGTTTTTGTTTTTGTCTTGTCTAAAATGTTTTACAGTGAGAAATGAGATCTTACTAAATATCCCTATGTAACCTGTTATTTTCTTTCTTTCTTTCTTTTTTTCTTTTTCTTTTGTGACAAGAGTCTGGCTCTGTCACCGAGGCTGGAGTGCAATGGCTCAGCCTTGGCTCACTGCAACCTCTGCCTCCCGAGTTCAAGCGATTCTCCTGCCTCCACCTCCCGAGTAGCTGGATTACAGGGGCACACCACCACACCTGGCTAATTTTTAGTATTTTTAGTAGCGGCGGAGTTTCACTGTGTTGGCCAGACTGGTCTTGAACTGACTTCAGTTGATCCTCCCGCCTTGGGCTCTGAAAGTGCTGGGACTACAAGTGTGAGCCATCACGCCTGGCCCCTTTTTACAATACACTGTGATTGTTGTTTGTCATTACATGTGACTCTACCTCATTCTTAAATGCCAGTGTGGCAGTCAGTGCCTGGATGTGCCTTCATTTAATTGCTCCCTCAATTGGACATCAGGGCTGTTTCTGAATTTTTCTACTGGGAACAGCACTACACTTACAGTTTTGTACAATCACCTGGTTAGTGCCTTAGGATAAATTTTTAGTAGTCTCAGAATGCATGGTTAAAAGAGTATACATTTTTAATAGTTTTCCGAATTGCCTCTAAGCATTATATGAACTCTTCTTTTCACTTTTATTTTAGGTTCAGGGGTACATGTACAGGATTGTTACCTAGGTAAATTGCATGTCTCGGGGCTTTGGGTACAGATTATTTCGTCACCCAGGTGATCAGCGTAGTACCTGATAGGTAGTTTTTCGAACCTTACCCTCCTCCTCCCCTGCCTCATCCTCAGGTAGGCCCCAGTGTCTGTTGTTCCCTTCTTCGTGTCTGTATGTACTCAGTGTTTAGCTCCCACTTACAAGTGAGAACATGTGGTATTTTGTTTTCTGTTTCTGTGTTAGTTTGCTTAGGATAATGGCTTCTAGCTGCATCCTTGTTACTGCAAAGGACATTATCTCATTCTTTTTTATAGCTATATAGTATTTGATGGTGTATATGTACGTGTGTGTGTGTGTATATATATTATAAAATATATTGCAAAATTTCAGACCACGGTTGACTGAGTAACTGAAACTGCAAAAGTGAAACTACAGATAATGAGGGAACAACTGTCCTAGGTTTCAGTCTTTCTTCGTGGAGGTATAACCACTTTCCAATTTTTCTTGATTCCTATGAAGAAACAGTTTTTTAAAAACTAATGTGTTTGTTTCATGAAATACAATTATGATTTCAATGAAAACATAATGGTTAGCAATGCATGTTAGGAAGATGTTTTGATAGTGAGGTCTACTTAACCATGGTAATGTCAAATTAGAGAAATTGAAATTTCATTTCTAAAGGGGATGATAGTAAAAACAGAACGTATTTTTTAAACTCTTTAAGTTTATGTGAGTAGGTTCAGAGCTAGAAAAGAATACAGTTTTTTTTTTCAAACAGTTTTCCTAGATGTGTAAGAGTCAGATCTAATCAATAGATTTTGAATGTTAATTCAAGGAGTATTTATTAAGCGTCTACCATCTGCCAGGGTGTGTACCAGATGATAGAAACAGTGGTAAATACCACAGTATAGTCCAGGAACTCTTGCAGGTTATAGGGTAGCAGAAAAGACACATGACATTTCCAGTGCAGTGAGTCACTCCTGAATTCTGCCACCCCTTTCCCCCAAGAGTCAGTCATCAAGTTGTACCCATTTCTCTATCTTATACCTGTTCCCATTTCTGCATCCGTATGACTGTTGCCCTAGTTTAATTCCTAGCCATTTCTCTGTTGGTGTCCTGCGCTTAACCCTGCTTCCAGTCTTGCCCCTCAAATTCATGTTTTACATTGTCCTCAGAGTGTTTTAGCCATAAAGCAAAACTGACTGTTTTATACCTCGCCAAACATTCCTCAATGACTTTCTGAGCCTTAAATGTTAAGGGCCTGCTCCTTAGCATAGTGTCCAAGGGGCTGTGTGACCTGGACTCTGCTATACCTCGCATTGCATCTTTCACCATCAAAGGCAGGCACTAGCTGGGTATGGTGGCTCATGCCTGTAATCCCAATCATTTGGGAGGCCAAGGTGGGAGGATAGCTTGAGTGCAGGAGTTTAAGATCGGTCTAGGCAACATAGCAAGACCCCATATTTCAAAAAAATAAATATGTTGCTCAATTAGGCACTAATGCAAGGTGGGTTTTTTTTTGTTTGTTTTTTTTTGTTTGTTTTTTTTTTTTTTGAGACGGAGTTTCGTTCTTGTCGCCCAAGCTGGAGTGCAGTGGTGCGATCTCCACTCACTGCAACCTCCATCTCCCGGGTTCAAGCAATTCTCCTGCCTCAGCCTCCCGAGTAG